ATACGTCACGCAGTAGTGAACCACATGTACTTGGAGACGCAAAGAGCAGTGAACATTATACACAGACAAAAAGGGATCAAGAAGTTGTATTATAGGCAGAAATCAACATCAAGATGCAAAGAGAGAGAGAGAGAGGTTCGCTACTGTGGGTCAGAATGACAAAAAACAGCAGCAGTGAACACGGATACATCACGGAGTAGTGAACCACGTCATACACACACAAACAGGGATGAAGAAGTTGTGATACAGGCAGAAGTCAACATACATCATATGGAGAGAGAGAGAGAGAGAGAGAAAGAGAGAGAGAGAGAGAGAGAGAGAGAGAGAGAGAGAGAGAGAGAGAGAGATCACGCTTCCCTAACCACCCACACATCCACGATTTGACATCGTGTGTATAGAGTTTTTAGGCGGTTGTTAATGTGGAGTCCTTTCCTACAATGCTGACATTCGTTCTTCCCCCCATGCCGCCCCACATTCGTTACAACCTGTAACATCATCTCTTTCATGTACGATATGAGATGGGACATACAGTCCGCAACCATCCTCGCCATTTGTCGCGAATTCGCTTTTGCAACGAATTGTTCAAACGTGTCTGTCGTCATAGGTACTGCAACAAATTCATCAGCAGCACGTGGCGCTTTACTAGCGACGACGCATGGAAAATTGTGTCGGACGTTGTGATAATTCAGTGCGCTAACATCGGTACACGCCAACAGCTCATGTGTCACAGACGCACAGTTTTCGACAATGTTCGCGCTGCCAGTGGCGTTGAGCTTTGTTGTCTCATGTTCGTCATCTGCCTTCGTCATTTTACCGTCTGCACTTTCCATGACAACTCCGTTCTGACAAGTCACTGTCAATTCTCCTGACAACAACCTACCTCGTGTGTATTGCAGGGTATCCATCACGTCCGTGCAACTGTTGAACAGAGACCTCATATTCCGTGGAAGGTCATCGTTAGCAGTCGCGACGACCTCATCACAGAGACCGTACGAGGAGTACCGGTCTATGGTTTCCTTATAATGGCGAATACAGTTTTCTGCGAAGGTCAAGAGGTCGACGACCCTGCGTGATTAAGCAGTCAGCGAACCCGTGTTATACTCCAGACTATCATACGATGTTCACCCCTCCTTGAGCACACACTTGTCATTGCTGGCACAACACGCAACATCCCATCCTTCTGATTCTCTGTCAGTTTGGTTTGTGATGTGGGCAGTGAACCGATTCAAAACTGCGGTGCGCCTGCGCCTTTCACCTTCCAACCATGTCTGGTACTCGTCAAACGTAGTTGTCTTCGTTTCAGCTATTGCCTTAAGTCTGGCGGTCATATCCTCCCTCAGACGAGTGATGTCTAAACACTTTGGATCGGGTAGTAATAACCAGAACACGGAGAACATCCTATGTTCTGCAGTTTCTGTCATTTCGGTGGTCAGTGATTTAAGGCGGCCTATCTCATCTTACATGTGTCTCAGCAATTGTTTCTGCTTATGTACATCGTCTGTGAGCATGTCTATATGTTCTTGCTGCTTCTCTACCATCTCACCCCAGTTCCCTTGCATCGAAGTCCGCTTATCTTTTTTGCCCCCAAACGAAAGAAACTGATTAGGCGTTGCATCACACTCTTCGCCTGACTTTCTCTTCTGCCCGATTTTTGCTAATCTTGACATCTGGGAATACATGTATATACAGCGAAATACATAAATAGATAGATAAATAGATAGATAGATAGATAGATAGATAGATAGATAGATAGATGGAGATAACAACAGAGAGACAGAGAGAAAGCGAGCGAGAGAGAGAGAGAGAGAGAGAGAGAGAGAGAGAGAGAGAGAGAGAGACAGACAGAGAGAGAGACAGAGACAGAGAGAGACACAGAGGCAGAGACACGACCTCACTACTTCCATCGGTTTTGTCAGCGGGCGCCTACCAAACTTTGACTATATGTACGTAACAACAGACATTCTTATATATTTTTGTACGTCTGTGTTTTCCCTTTGATCAGTCCATACAACACTGGAATACAATGCTTAACAAATATGTTTGTTTTCCCGTCGACCCCACTCCCTCCCCTCCCTACCTGTTTCTGTTTTTTTTTTTTTAACTCAAAGTAAAGAAAAACGCAAAAAAAAGGGAAAAAAAAA